CATGAAATGTGCTGCTAAGTTGCAAGCAGTGCCCTTGTCGTTGGTGCTACATGTACACTAACCGCGTTGCCGGCGTTGCAGGTCTTACAGCTGGTGGCTCAGCCATCGCTTTGGGTGATTCACTCCCACAGCCACCGTATCTCGCCACTTGCGCCCAGTATACCTGCATTTACATGTACCATCCGTTGCTCCGTTTGGGCAACGGGCCATTGTGATAGATCCATCACTTCACCCAGACACCTTCGCTGGACAAGTTGCCGTCGCTCATTGGTGCGCGCATGTGCTGACCTAAACCTTTTCGCGCCAGTAATTGGCCAATTAGAGCCACCAATCAGCGTGCGCAGCAAGTCAACGCAGCACTCGGCAACGTCTCCGCCGGTAGAGCATCCGCTCGTGCACCTCTGGCGACACCAGGCATCTAACGCCCGCGCGGCCGCTGGACCTCTTTCCTCGACACAAGTGGAATCTCTTGACGCCGAGAAGTGTGCCAAACAGGATCGCTGGTTAATTGCCGCCTACAGGGTTAACAAAGCACAGCCACTCGATTGAGCAGCTAAGATGGTGTGCAGCATCGAGGATTCCCCTTCGCGCGAGCGCGTGCACTATGCTGAGGTGGTGCTGGACGATAAAGCCGTTGCATCGTCCTTGCAAGAGCCCAAGCGGCTTCCCAGCGAAGTGACGGTGGTGGACATGCGCAACAGTGGATTGGCCGAGGTGAACCAGGTTTCGGAGCAACAAGCCAGCAAGAAGAGCGTGTGGCTGCTGGCCTATTGCTGCATCGGCATTATGGTGTCTTTCACGCTCAATGGTGTGGTGCTGGAGAAGATTACGACGCACCGAGTGCTGGGCGAGCTGTCCATGACCTTCGTCTTCTGTGTGTTTAACTCAGTGGTCGCCATTGGATTGAGTCGCGCTCGTAAGGAGAAGCCTTCGACCATGCCTCAGAGCTTCTTGGTGATTGTCGGTGCGCTAGCTTTCGGTTCAACCATCGCGTCTATGGTGGCTCTGCGGTATGTGACGTACATCACGCGTATCCTGGGCAAGTCGTGCAAATCCATTCCAGTTATGATCATGGGCGTACTGCTCGGCAAGAAATACGCCCTCAAGAAGTACGTGTCGGTTATTGTGCTGTGCATCGGTGTGGCGATTTTCCTGCTGGGTACAGCCCATGAGAAACAGCACCACTCTGTGCAACACAATGAGAGCCACAACAGTCTACCGGAGCAGGAACGCACACCCAACATGGTGCTGGGCTTCTCGCTTCTGATTGTATCCCTCTTGTTCGACGGAGCTACCGGTGCGCTCGAGGATAAATTTATGGAGGCTTACCATATTGGTGCCTTCGATCTCATGTATTACGTCAACATTTACAAGGCTCTGTTCTCCGCTGTTGGTATGGTAGTGAACGGTGAAATACCGGTGTTCCTTCAGTACGTGGTGCCGTCGCTGCCGAACCTCCTGATGCTGAGCTTGACCGGAGCCTTCGGCCAGGCCTTCATCTTCTTCACCATCAGCAAGTTCGGTGCTCTGACCACGGCTATCATCGGAACATGCCGCAAGGTGCTGAGTATCGTGCTCTCGGTGTTTCTGTTTGGCCACGTGCTGTCCGTGGAGCAGACTGTGGGTCTGGGTTTATCTTTCGCTGGTATCGGGCTCAACTGGGTGAAAATGAGGAACTGCTTTGTCAAGTCTTCGCCAACACCGACCGCGGCGGCTGAGCCGATTGAGCTGGACGAGTTGGCTAAGGAAGGCCTCCTTGAGAGCAGCAGTGACGACACCGCCGACTCCGAGTCGGACGAGCAGGATGTGACGGTTTCGGCTCACGATGACGAAGAGGAGGCCATGGACGCGGAAACTGCACGCAAGCTAGAACTGGTCAACGCCTGGCACCGACAGACTACTCGTGAAGCTGAGGCATCGTCGAGTGACGAAGACGCACATGATGCCAACGATGTGGCCGCACAGGCTGTGTAGATCGGAGCTGAAATGCCTGACTTCGTGAAAATAATATAACCCTTACCTTATTTACAAAGTCGAATTGTTGAACGCAATTCCGTGCTGAAAGCGTCTTGCTAATGCGTACGTGTAGCATCGCCGACTTGTTGAGAACAAAAAGGCAATATCGTTGGTATCAGCACTCCAGCACATATTGTTTTAACAGTGCATACCTAGTAGTAGTGTACTAGCCACACGAGATACTACATCTGAGTGGGGACGCTCTATCCACTGCAAGACCACCAGTACTTTTAGCTAGTCTGTCGTGTTACAAACCTTTTCAGTGCTCGGCAAGAGTGTTGAACCAACGACACTATTGAATCAATAGTATTGATGCTACGGAGTGATCTCCTAGTGATAATCCGACTATCATAGTCGTCATCAAGCCACGCTTGACTGTCAGATGCTTTAGGAACTCGGAATTTCTAGAG